GCTACTATGGGAGAGAACGAACCAGCTTCCAGTTGAAGAGAAAATTAAGGGAAGAATTAGTAAATGGATAGGTCATTCACTACAGAACTCATCAAAATGAATCACAAAGCAAGAGTGTTAACTTAGAATCCTGAATAAAAATGAAAATTTGTAAGGTCAAATAACACACTACGTCAGGAATTGGAAGTAAACATGAAATGAATGAATAACAACTGGAAACAACTGGAATGGATTTTCCAGAACAATGTTAGTTAGAGAATGTTGATGGGTGAACAATACGCCTCTCTAAGCTATAACCGGCGTAATTAAGCGGGTAAGTAATTTGATTAAATTTTGTTACAGAGCATTAATATTATTTTTTTCCCTGAAAAATTCATACATTTACACAACTATACTTTTCAGAAAATAGTAGAGAAAAAAAGAACAAGAACTTATGAATCACTGGAATAACGCGTTGACCTTTGACGTGAATAGTGCTGAGTTCGAGTCCCGGAGCGAACATCAAATCTAAGGTCCAGGCATATCCGGCTGATGAGTCCCAAACAGAACGTAACATACTTCCTAGATCTCACTACTAGTCACTATTCATCTTTGCTTGAAATTACTTATGAATCAATTTAACTCAATGTGTCTAGACTGATCATGTTTTTGTATAAGTTCATTGATTAATGAAAAGTAATTAAAATTAAACAGTCAGGCAATTAATAATTAATTATACTTTCTTTTGTATTCAAAGTGCGTGTATATTGAATATTGAATGATTTGTTCAGATTATTGATTTAGTTGTTTATTCGATTGAAGTTTAACATGATATTGATTTTGTGAATATAAATGTGTAGTTTATTGACTTACGCCTGTTACCTTTCATGGAGGAGCATAGGTCACCCACTTACATTCTCTATACAACTCTGTCCTGGACAATACTTTTCAGTTGATTCCAGTTGCTATTCATTCTTTTGATGTCTGCTTTCAATTCCGGAAGCATTGTGTACGTTGAAATTCCGCTTTTCCGTTTCGCTTCACGATTCTAAGTTAGCGTTTGTCTTATGACGTGGTTTGGTGATTTTTGTAATGTATGTCCTATCCACTTCCAATATCTTTCCTAATTTTCTCTTCAACTGGAATCTGGTTTGTCATCTTTAATAGTTGATTGTCGCTGATGGTATCCGACCAACGGATATTGAGTATCTTGCTTAGACAGTTAGTCACAATTTATTTAATCATTGTAATAATTTATAGGTTAGCAAGTGAACGCTTAGTTAGGTAGTAACCAATATAATTCTATTTAATCATAAAGGCTGGTTAGATTTTTATTAGCCATAGTTCGGGCTGAGAATGTCTACCTACATCTGTATCCGTCTACAATAAAATTACCAAGAAAAATCCAGAGTAGTACAATATGGAAGTATTGACCAAATACATCTGGATCGTTGATAAGGACTATGAGCTGTTTCATTCTATATTTTCAATCATTAGCGACAATTATCTACTACATTTAAATCAGTTAGTTTGAGCATATAAACATGGAATAGCAAAACATTCAACGACTTCATGAATTGATGCGATGTTTTGGATGGCTGTACCTAACTTTCTGTCAGCCTATTCCTATAGAGGAAAACGTCGCTCACCTTGACAGGTGATATTTGGTAATACGTAATGCATATTTTAGTTAACTTATTCAATAAAGTTTCAATACCACAACAAACTTGCCATCTGTAAATGGTTGACTGTGTCTCACTTCAGCATTTCACATGCGGTGGTCATGATCTATGATTCAATCCCAATGAATAATGAGTACTCGTCCCTTGTATTAACTAGAACAAAACTATTTTGCTAACACTGAAGAAGAACAATTGGTACCTGCTACTTGTTATAAAGGAACAAAGATTGATACTACTCAATTCAATTAAGAAGGTCAGACTATATATCAAAATTTGATTGTGCATTAACAATAAATCCACAAGTTTTTGATGGATTTTTGTTCTCTGAACTGGATGGTTTGAAGCTTTCTACTGAACGATATCATCAGCACAAACTTCAGATAGAAGTAAAGAACCACTCAACATCGAGATCTACAGGGCAAGCTGTGAACCACACGTGAAAAAATTGGAACGCTTCACTTCTATCTGAAATTTGTGCTGATGATGTTGTTCAGTAGAACGATGAAAGCTCCACGATCAAACCATCCAGTTCAAAGAAGAAAAGTACATCGATATCATCCACTTGAGCTACAAATATTCTCCACCATCTCAAATCCATAAGTGATCAACTACTGATGGAAAACAATATTTAAAAACATTGAGTTATATATAAGTTTAGTATCTGATAAATAGTCAACTTTGAACTAGATCGTAATGTCAATTGATTTACATGTATTTTGTTGAGATTAGGTGGTGGTTGGAGGTAGTCGACAGGAAACCCTGGACCCAGGTATCGTGCTACTTGGCACTCGTCAGTAAGGTGTACATGTAATCTTGACGGAACTGGTGCTCCCTGGAGGATTCGATCCCATGTCACCCTGCTTCACAGTCAGAGACATTACCACTGAGCTATCCCGGCCGCGACTGACCTCCTGTATGATTGAGATGTAATCACAATTGATTGATCACTAGGTGGTGATACCCAACTACCATTTAATCTCAATATATAGCGCCGGCAGTGTCGAGTCACCTAGATTGGCGGGCACATTGCAACATGATCGATAGCATTCGATGTGCACTAAATAAAGACTTGACATACATGAAATTGATCACCACTCAGTGATCAATCAATTGTGATTACATGTATTTTGTAGTAAACATAACTGAATTACTTAGTTACGTATTAATTATTACCTAGTGCCCTCCTTAAAAAATAAAGTTACTGTTCAGTTGAATAGTCTATGAAGATTGATTGATTTGGTGATTTTTATTTGATACTATAGAATGAGATCGATTGGATGAATTAAGAATGTTGGATAATTGATTTCAACTAACAGATCTTATAAAAAACATCTTTGATAAACTAATTGAAAGATCTGAGATTAATTGTATACATGTTTGTAAGTGGAAACTATTGAGGATATTCATCTAATAATGTCTATTTGTTGCTAAGAAAAAAATTTAAGGAGTAAAGTAAGTAAGTAATGTTTGTTAAGTGTTGTTGATCACTAGACCTATATTATCACTAAGAAGAGTTTTGGAGATAGTATTACAGTATTACAGTTGAATTCATGTGTTAACCTAATCTAGACCACCATTACAAACCTGTAAGCACTGGAAAGCCGTTTTATCTTAGTATGAAACTCCTCAGCAGTGTACACGTAGGACTTGAACTCAGCTGCTTGACTATTGCATCCGAACGTTTAATCTTCAAACTATTGAGCCGGTATCCAAGGGTATTAATATCTAAATTCAGTCATCAATATAACTCAATAGTATTAGTCGATATCCATTAATTACCCTTGAGAACGTCGAGAACAGTTTTGTTATGATAACAGTGACAGAGATGATAAAATTATTTAGCGAAGTAATAAACCTTCCAATTCGAGAATAATAATCGATGTTTATCATAACTGGTAATTAAAAAAACTATCTTTTGAGGAATTTTCAACTTAAATTCACTTGGTATTATTTACTTGCATCTTCCCATTGATGTTAAGGACTGTAAGTGATCAGTCGCTTATTGGCATATGTACATCCTATGTGGATTGCCTCGATATTGCCTTAATTCCCAAGCAATCTAAACAAAGATGGATAGTGACTAGCAGTGGAATCCAGGATATGTATCTCATCCTATTTAAGCTTTTCAGCTGGATGTACTTTCATCTCGAAAATGAGAGTCACTTCGAGGCTCGAACCCAGTACTGTTCATTTCAAACGCTATCACATTATTCCCTTAGCTACTGAGTCCTGACATCCATTAACTTGTGCAATGCGGTGAAGTTTTATTGTTGTTTAATTGTATCTTTCTATTGTTATTTAGGAGTGCAATGGATCAATCTCTTATTGGTATATGTGTACCCTGTGCCGATTGCCTCGATATTGCATGTAGCCTTTAAGTATTATAATTAAAGATGCATAGGGACTAGTAGTGAAATTCAGTATGCGCATCTCATTTTATTTAAGACTCATCAGCTGGATATACTTGCATCCCAGTATTAACATCTATTTGACAATTTGAACCTAGTACCGTTCGCTTTAAAAATCATCGATTAATTCACTTAACAACTTAGTCCTAATAACCACAAATTCTTATCATCAAGTTGACATGGCAACTAAAAAAACAAAAAAAACCCAAAATAGAAATCTGTTCAACATGAATTGATGTTGTAAAACTTTTAACTAAAACTAAACTCTTCTGTCATATCATTAGCTATTTAAATTGTACATTTATATGTTTATAATTAGAAGCGGACAATTCAAATGTGTTTGTTCCTATATAATGACCTTGAATGTATTTCTCAAGGTTGAATTTAATTGGCCAATTATATTGCAGAATTCTGATTGGTGTTTTGATTTTTTTGTTGTTTTTTTTGTTGGGGGGGGAAATGTGCTATAATATAATTAATTATTTGACATACACCATTATATATTAGACAAAGTATTTTCTTAGTTATACTTCTGACATTCATACATACAAAAGTATATACAAAGTTGTTGCTGTTGTCGTTGCTGTTTTTTTTATTTTTCGGGGGATCAATGTTAACAGTTATGTAACTTCTCAGAAAAATACAAAAAGTTGTCTGACAAAGCTTGAAAAATAAAAAAAAAAAAACTAAACACGGATTACATGTAACCAAATTCATTCAATATTGTGCAATCATATATAGGCACAGAAACTATTGATACACAATTGTAATAAGTAGGAGAAGAAGAAAAAGAAGAAGACGGACAGTCCCAATATATATATATACATAAAGAGAGAGAGAGAAAGAGGAAAAAAAAGAAGAGGAAGAAGAATTAACCAAACATATTTCACCAATATTTAATCAATAAGTCTGATATTATTGACAGCCTAGAATGGAAAGTAATATTCATTTATCAAATAGTGATCATGAATTAGTGTTAGATAAACGTGGTGCTAATACTAATACTAATACAACTAATACTAATAATAGTGTTAATAATACAAATAGATCAATTTTATTAAAACATACAACCTCATTACCAAGTGAAGAAGATTCTAATATTGATTTTAATCAACAAAATAATCAATATCATGAACAATTTCAACGTGATAGACCACAATCATTACGACCACGTATGGTTACAAGATCATCGGTAAATTATCATCAACAATCAAAATATAAATTACAATCAAATAGTGAACAACAACATTTAAATAAAATCAATAAATCATATAATAATAATAATAATCCTATTCTAACACCATATAATACAAGAAATAATAGTATTCATCAATCAAGTGATTATATTCCATTATTACATAGTGATAAAGCCTTAGTAACAACAACAACAACAACAACCACCACCACCACCACCATCACCAACACCAACACCACAGCAACAACAATCAATATTCCAATTGATAATAATATGGATTCACAATTATTATCTTCATCAATTAGTCCAGAATTCATGGGGAATACATCAAAAGATTCACATATTGATGATATATTATTAACTAATAAAAATTCAATCGTACAATTAAATATTTAGATAATACAAAATTAATAAGACGTGAATCAAAATCATATTCAACAACTATATCACCAATACCATTAATTTCTTATCATCAAAATGTATTACCAAATCATATGGATTTATATCCAATGATGATGGATAGATATAATAATAATAGTAGTACTATAATCGATAAAAAATTCCCTAATAATAATGATAATGATAATAATAATCATAATAATAATCTAATTAAAAATATAAAACATAAATTCAATATCAATAAAACATTGAATACAACAAAAGTAAGTATCATGCAGTTGAAACTTTGTTTGTTTCCTTGTTTAGAATAGAACTTCAATGTTTATTATAATGATAATTGATTCATTACTTATATCTGTTACTACTCCCAATAGAGGAGTATAGGCCGCTGACCAGTATTCTTTAACCTATTCTGTCCTGAGCCATCCTTTCTAGTTCTATCCAATTTTTGTTCATTTTTTATTCTCATGTATGTGTTCTTTGACCTTCCACTTTTCCGCTTCCCTTCAGGATTCCAAGTTAGGGCTTGTCTCGTGATGCAGTTTGATGATTTCCGTAATCTATGTCCTATTCATTTCCATCGAATTTTCCTAATTTCCACTTCAGCTGGAAGCTAGTTTGTCCTCTCCTATAGAACACTGTTGTTGATGGTATCCGGTTAATCAATCTTGAGTATCTTGTGTAGACAACTATTTATAAATACTTGTACATGTTTGATGATGCTTGTGGTAGTTCTCGAAGTTTCAGCTCCGTACAGTAGGACTGCCTTGACGTCCGAATTGAAGATTCTGACTTCGATATTGCTTGAAAGGTGCTTTGAGTTCCACATGTTCTTCAATTGTAGGAATGCGACCCTTGCTTTACCAATACTTGCCTTCACGTCTGCATCTGAACCTTCTTGTTCATCGATGATGCTTCCCAGGTATGTGAAGGGTTCTACATCTTCCAGAGTCTCGCCTTCAAGAGTGATTAAACTGCTGTTCTCCGTCTTTAATTTGAGGACCTTGGTTTTCCCTTTGTGTTCTCACTTCTCTTTCGGCTTTGAAGATTTCATAGGAGAGTTTGTCTTGTGATGTAGTTGAGTGCTTTCCTCAATGTGTGTCCTATCCAATTCCGGTGCTTCTTCCTGATTTCTTCCTCCGTTGGAAACTGGTTTTCTTAATTTCTTCTTCAACTGGAATATGGTTTGTCCTTTTCCACAGTAAATTGTTAATGATAGTATCCGACAAACAGATAATGAGTATCTTATGTAGATAAGGAGAACTTAAATGTTTATTGTACGATAGTTGATCAGTATAAGTTATGCGATTAACAATAATATACCATTAATATCACATCATACCAAACAGTATGGATTTATATCTAATCATTATGAATAGAAATAGTACAATAATCGATAAAAAATTTACCTAATGATAATAAGAGTAATCTAATTAAAAATATAAAACATAAATTCAATATCAATAAAACATTGAATACAACAAAAGTAAGTATCATGCAGTTGAATCTTTGTTTGTTTCCTTGTTTAGAATAGAACTTCAATGTTTATTATAATGATATTTGATTACTTACTTATACCTGTTACTACTCTCAATAGAGAAGTATAGGCCGATGACAAACATTCTTCAACCTACTCTAACCTGAGCCTTCCTTTCTAGTTCTATTCAATTTTTGTTCATTTTTTTTCTCATGTATATCTCCATTTCTCGGCGTAATATGTTCTTTGGTCTTCCATTTCTCTTTTGGCCTTGACGATTCCATATAGGGGCTTGCCTTATGGTGCAGTTGAGTTTGTAATTTCCACAGTAGTCTGTTGCTGATAGTATCCGACCAACAGATATTGAGTATCATGTGTAGACAAGTAGAACATAACTGTTTATTGTATGATAGTTGATCAGTATGAGTTATGTGATTTACAATGATATATAATTTATGTTTTAACCTATATGAAGGAGTATAGACCACTCATTAGCATTCATCATCTAAGCTTGTCTTTGGTAATCCATTCCAGTTATTTTCATCTCCTAATTATTCTTCTTATATTAACTTCTTAGTCCCTATGTAATGTCTTGTCTTGTTTGATCTTCCTCTTTTCCATTTCCCATCACGAGTCCAAATTAGTGCTTTTCTCTTGATGTAGTTCGCTCATTACCGTAATGTATGTCTCATCAATTTCCAACTTCTTTTCCTAATTTCTTCTTCAGCTAGAAGCTATTTCAATCTCTTCCATTGTAGATTGTTGCTGATAGTATCCGGCCGACAGATATTGAGTATCTTGTGTAGACAAATAGAACATAAATGTCCATTGTATGATAGTTGACCAGCATGAGTTATGTCCTTAATAATGAATTATAATAAATTATTGTCTGTGAAGACTTGTTAATAATAACTATAAATAATGTCGATTTGTTTAGAATTTATGTTTTAACCCTCGTGGAGGAGTATAGGCCAACTAATAGTATTCTCCATAAAACACTGTCCTGGACAATCCTTTCCAGTTCATATTCATATCTTTCATCTCTGCTTCCAATTCCTGACGTAGTGTATTATTTGGTCTTCCTCTTTTCTGCTTCTCATCAGGATTCTGTTATGGCGGGATAAAAGATCAAAATTAGATTGATTACTCATTATGGTTTTTTACTCAACAATAATTCCGTTTAATTCAACTTGATGATCAATCGGTGAAAGATTCGCTTTCGTATTCCCCTGACATTTTGTTCTGTGTAACATACGATATTCTTATATGAAGTATTTTTTATATATGTGATTTATTTTAATTATCAATCGAAGATGGGGGTGTACAAACCAATAAATAAATAAGTGTATTTCCGACTAGACTTGTCGTCATTGCTCGTGCTTCTGGCTGCTTGCGGAATATATTTCCCCGTTTCAAACTTGAACTTCTCTTTCTAACTAGTAGGACTGGGACGCATCAGAATAGCTAGCTTATTTGTCTTTTGTGACAAAGTCTTTGTTCCGTTCGCAGAGTAGGTGAACTTGTAATCGCTTCAAACATAGTAGATTCTAAGTGAGCGCTCTTCTCGTGACGTAGTTTGCTCATTTTCTCAATATATTTCCTATCAACATCTTATGCTTTTTTTCCTAATTTCTTCTTCAGCTGGAAGCTGTTTTAATCTCCTCCACAATCGATTGTTGCTTATGGTTTCCAACCAACGGATATTGAGTATCTTCTGTAGACAACTGTTTATAAATATTTGTACATTTTTGATGATAGTAGTTCACCACGTTTCAGTTCTGTATAGTAGAACTGTGTTGACCTTAGTAATAAAGATTCTGGATTTGTTGTTATCTCGCAGACATTTGTATTGGGTCAGATTTGTTCTTGAGTTGTAGAAATGCTGTCTTTGATTTGCCAATCCTCACCCTTATGTCTGCATCAGATCCTCATTGTTCGTCGACGATAATCCTCAGATACGTGAAACATTTCACCTCTCCCACAGTTTCTCCATCGAGTGTGATGCGGTTAGTGTTTTACGTGTTGTATTTGAGGATGTTACTTTTTTCCCTTATGTATGTCGAGGCCTAACGGTGTAGAGGCTTCTCCTACACTAATTCCCTTCATCTACCTTTGTGTATAAGAGGTCACGTCATCTGCGGAGTCCAAACCAACAATTGACTGATCAATTGCAGTCTTGAACAACAATCGGAAGGTACAAGTAAAACAACACTAAGTGAATTTATAGTTTTGATTCATTTTTTTGGTGTATAATAAATCCCCATATATATAGTCAATGGTTTCAATGTTGGATTGTACAATTCTTGATTCATTTTTTTCCAAGAACCAGTTATCCTTAGTTATAAAAATTGGTTATCATCAAGGAATGACAGTAAATAGAAAATATTTGAAAGAGGAGGGAATACAGTATATATGTCACCCTGGTTTGTGTATTCGACTAACATTGCACACTAATGATGTTTTTATTAGAACTTGGACTAAGGATTTTGTTTATGCAAATAGTAATCAATACTCAAAGTGATAGATTGATAGACCAGACCTTCTGAATATCTGTACTTAGTAGTTCAGTAGATAACAAATTTAGCGTTTCTAATAACACTTTTATTGTCAATGTGAATATCAATACTGAGCTACAGATACTTCTCAGGTAACGAGCCGTAAATAAAGTGAAATATGATTCCTGGGTTTCAATGCCACCTGAATATCATCTATTCAAAATAAATTGTAACGCAATTACTTACTTACTTACAACTGTTACGCCTCGTGGAAGAACATCGGCCACTCACCAGCACTCTCCATGCAACCCTGTCCTGGGCAATCATTTCTAAGTCTTTCCAGTTTTTATTCATCCTTTTCATATAGGCTTATATTTCCCGACATAATGTGTTCTTTGGCTTGTCTTGTGATGCAGTTTGATGATTTGCGTAATGTATGTCCTATCCATTTCCATCGTCTTTTCTTAATTTCCTCTTCATATGGAACGTGGTTTGTTCTCTCTTACACATTTGCTAATCTTAGAACAATACACATATGATCAATATGTGTCAAAAATAAACCTAACTGATATTTATGGCTTAATATCAACATCAGAATCAGTCAGCAAATTATTAAGAAGAATGTTATATAGCTATACCTCAGTTCAGAAATCGGAAAGCCAATGCAAACATTTATTCATTTGAACAATTAAACTTATATCAAAATTTATAGGAATATTTATTAATTTCAACAGTTGAGATCACGAGTCAATTGAAGTTAGACGACCATGGAAAACCTCGAAGCACTGGACGGCCGTCCCGTCCTATTGTGGGACTCCACGGCAGTGCACAACCACGACTCCGTCTCGCGGGATTCGAACCAAGGGCTTATCAGTCTCGCGCCAGGCGCTTAACCAACTAGACCACTGAGCTGGCATCCAACGGTGTTAATGTCTAACTTCAACTAATCCACGAAATTGAGCGACACATCCACTATTGTTATCAGTGAGTTACCACCTCACAACAGACACGGTTGAACTCCAACGGTCCTGGGTTCGAATCCTGCGAGGCGGGGTCGTGGATGCGCACTGCTAAGGAGCCTCGCAATAGGACGAAACGGCCATCCAGTGCTTCCAGGTTCTTCATGGTGGTTTAGTTTCAACTGACTCATGATCTCAACTGTTTAAATTACTATAATCTCCACAAAACCCCTTAGAATATTTATTACTTATTTCATTAGTTACCTATTTCTTTCGTTCCTTCGTTCCTTCCTTCATTTCTTCCTCACTTACTTAGTTACGCCTGTCACTTT